TCATTTTTTGATTGTATTATATATTTTATTTATTGTTTATATTTATTTGAGACCTATAATATTAATTATATCTGTTTATTTAATAATATGTAAAAATTATATACAATTAATACATGTGCAACCATCTTTAAAAATAAAGGTAAACAAAAAAATTAGAATTCTCAAAAAAAAAAAGAAGTTTGAATTCCCAAAAAAAAATGCAGTAGGCTTCTTGGAGAAGCTTTGAGAAAGTTAACGGAAAGATAACGGAGAAATGGACGGAAGTGACGGACATAACAGCCCAACAAACGGAAGTTACAAAAAGGGGCTATTTTCTTCCATTCTTATAGATTAAGGGCTAAAACCGTTATGTTATAAGGTGAGGGGCCAAAACCGTCCAACTTATCAAGGTAAGGGGCTATTCTTAGGCTTTTGCCTATATATATATGTGTGTGTGTTTTTGTGGATTTTGTTGTTTGATGAAGAATTGATCGATGAAGATGAAGATGAAGAATTGATTGATAAAGCAGCCTAGGCAAGATGAGGAACTGGGAACTGGGGAATGGGAAGAACGGGGAGAAGAGTTTCAAGATTTGCAGGAGTGGGGCCCACTTTTTTTCTTTTTTTGATTTTGGATCTGAATGATAATGCCATGTCATTTTTTTTACAGGTGTGCATATGATGTGTCATTCTATTTTGACACATCATCATGCTTCAGTTAATTAACCAGACACGTCATTGGATTTTTAACGGAAGGACTAAATTGGAGTAAAAATGATAAACAGTAGGGACCAAATCAAAGATTTTTTGAGTTGAGGGATTAAATCGAGGATCTGTACAATAGTTGAGGGACCAAAATAGAGGTTTAACCCAAATTTTAACGCCACAGCAGATGTGAATGTCATATCTTTGATGTCTAGAGATTCCAAGGGCACATTTCACGTGGTTGCTGAGCTCTAGGCCTTCACGGGCCCACGATGTCACGCTGGTAATAGTTGTACTTTCCATTCGCTCAAACTTTATATCACCCTTCACACAGTCACACTAGCCTTTTCTGTTTTTCAATGGGCCAATAATTATTCTTTTTGAATTATTTGCCCTGCTTTTGCAGAAAGTTGATCCCTGCTCAGCTTTCCCTGCATGAGGTTGAATTTGAATGGGAAGGCAATTTCGTTTAACATTTTGGAAACGGGGCCATGATATTGACAAGAGAGAAAGGAATCCGAGACAGACAAAAATATCTGAGAATAGAGAAATAATAGTGCATGAAAATAAAAAAAAATCACGAGATTATATTAAATTATAATAATAAAATAAAATTAACATAATTACAATATTATTTTGCAATATTCACGTGACAATATCACGGGTCTACATATATACTTATTTACGTTGTTAACTAAAAAATTTGTTATAAACAAAATTATGGTGAATGATTTTAAAGAATAAAAATAGAATTATAGATAAAACCGGAATGTATTAAAATTTTAAATGCATGCCAACCGAGGCAAAACTTTTCCAACATTATTTTTACTGTTTAAAATGATAAGTCATTTTGTAGTCATTTGTAATTGAGTGAAATTTGTTGTGAATCTTGGAAAAATCCTCTTTAACTTTTTCACCGTCTTGCACTCTTGCACGCTACCTTGAGTATTTTTTTTTTTTTAATGAAAAATTTTAACAATTTAAAAATTTTTTAGAGCTCGAGACCCTCAACCCTGCCCACCTCCAGTGTCTGATGCTGGTAATAAATGTACATTTCCATCGCCCCGAACATTTTATCTCTGATTATCTAAAATAAAAACTTTTTTTTCTCTCTGGTCAAACTGATCTCTCCACCACAGAGTCACATGCTGGCATTTTCTTTGTTCTACGGGTCAATAATTGCTTTTCCGCAGTGTTTTCCCTGCTTTTGCCGAAAGTTGTTCACTGTTTACGGTACTGGGCAAATGGTCGATTAACTAATTAAATA